ATTAGATTCATCTCATTATTTTCCCATTTTTGAAATTCAGATTCCTGCTATATTCATAATAAATACTACGGAAGGTATTAGAAGAAATTTGCATTTACACAATAGCAATTAATTTAGCCTTGACTGTCTAATTGCTTTTTGTTACCTTTTTATTGTTAAATGTTCTAAATTTTTAATTTAAAAATATATGTTACACAACTCTCTTTACTATGTTCTCTTTCTCCACATTAATATGGTTGTTATGCAACTGTAATAAATCAGCTACTACAGTTTGAATTTTCTTATCAAATCAGTACTAGTTACAGAAGGAGAAACAAGTTTATTATCTTACACACTCAGTAATTGATAATTATAATCCCTATTAGTGGATCCTCACAAAATTGCCTTCTACCACTATATCCTTATTCCATTGTTCTTGACAAGAACTAGGCACAATATCCTTCACCAGGTACTGCAAAACAGATTTTTGGAAATTATATTAGTGAGCATCTTGTGGCCTCTAGACAGCTTCTATTCCCAGATTGGGAACTGGGAACTCTGACCCCACTCCCCTTTGTAAGCAATGTGGAAACACTTGTGTCAACTCCTGAGATCAGGAAAGCAACCTTAGAGAGCTGGAGAAGGGGGCATTTCAGAGGGCAGGGAGGGGAGAAGACTGAAGAGGCTAGAATGCAAGCTATCCTGAATCCTCTCCAGTCTTCCTTTCCCCTCCAAAACATTCCAACTAGATGAGGGAAAAATGCCCATCTGGCCAAGTAGACCAAGTGGCAGGACAGTGGCTTTAAACTATGATTAAAGTGGTAATTTCATTTTGTTGTAATCTGAATTGCAGCTGTTTCCTTTAAACTGAGAAGACCTCTCATATCCTTATGAGATAGCCCTTTAATTGTAACAGTCTTATTATAGAAAAACTACCTTAAAGGGTTGCTTTCTTTCCTCAATTAGATGAACTGAAAAGTTAATCTCTCTTTTAAAGAGACCTTTAAAAGAAACTCACTCATGTTATTTGACTTAAAATTAGAAAAAAACCCTTAGATGGCCAATAAGACTGCTAAAGGCTATTAGATTACGTGATTTAATTTACTAGACAATTTAAGGAGCTTCATTGGAACTGTGATGCCCTAAGCAGCCTGTGCAAATTATCAGAAAAGAGAAGCTGTTTTGGCTCATGAATTTTTTGGTTCACATTTGTTTAATCCTGAATATTTGGTTTGTATTACTGGTTTGTAAACTGCTGCAACTACTGTATATATTAGACAGAGGTAGTGATGTATGAGAAATCTGTTTTGGTGGTGGGAATCCACTGAATTGTCTTAGTTCAGATCCCTGAACTCCAGCCTTTCTCTTTGCTCTAAGCCCAACTTGCACGGGAATTTTACATAGGTATCAAGCAGAAAGCAAGTTTACTTGTGCAGGTACAGTGGTACCTCGGCTCACGAGCGGCTCAGTTCAAGACCAATCCAGTCACGAACAGAAATTTTGGAAAAAATTTGCCTCAGGTTGTGAACCCCGCGTTGGGTGACAATCACGATCGTGGCCATCTTCCCTGCACAAACACTCCAAACAATAACCTTCTCCGTACCTGTCATGCACACTGACTCAGAGGAGTCTTTGGCATGCATAGAGGAGGAGGAGACTTCCCATGGGAACCAGGCTTCGATGCAGGAATGTGTGTATGTAGTGCCAGTTGTACAAACGCCCCCCCCCCACTCCCTGACAAAGCTCTTCAAAGAGAAGAGGGCACAGATGGGAGTAGGATTCAAGGAGGAGCTGATAAGTGAACTGCAGTTGGAGGGCAGTCGGGTGGTTGCCGAGGGAACGGTTGGGGAACCTGGAGATAATGGCCATGGGAATGTAGGAGTTGGCATTAGCTCAGTAGGGGGGGTTGGAAGATGCGTGCTCTCACAAATGCACGCGCAGACTAGGGCAACTGGAGACAAGAGTTAGAAAGGCGGAGGGAGAGAAGTTTGTCAGATCCGCCCATTGAGGGGAGCCTGGGCAAGTCAAAAGTATTTCATAATCTGATTCCTCTCAGAAAGAGAGGACAACTTCACCATTATCATCATCATCATCATCATCATCATCATCATCATCATTGTCCTGTTAATGTATCTGCAACATTTCGTAGAATAAAGGACTTTAGCTTCAACTGTTTGATTTGTTGGCTTCGTTGAGAAGGGGCACCTAAGCCTGACGACACCGCCCACCACGAGGGGGAGTCATGAGGGCGTGCTCACTTCCGTCGACACCTTCCTGGCTCTGTGCTGCCACCCCACTTCCAAGTCGGAGGAAGGTCTCCTCGCAGGTGCTCACCCGGCTCTGGGAGGGGGAACAGGAGTGGGAGGCCAGAGAGGCGGGCGTGGGATGGCTTCCCTGGCTGGGAGAGGGCTGCGAGGAGGGAGGTAAGGGCTGCTTTCCACAGGTCGAGGTGAGGGGAGGTGAGGGATGGGGCCGTGGCTGGCCGAGTGGGGCATCCCCTGCCTCTCCTCGCCGCGTCTGCCCCCGGGATCAGCGAGGCGGCCACAGCTTGGCCCACAGCCCGGGGACGTGGCTTATACTGTATGTTTGTGGTTTTAAAAAATATACATATTTATTTATTTAAAACTTTTATAAGCCGTCCTTTATGTATAACATAAAGTTAAGGTAAAGAACAGATTAACTTTATTTACATTGAACCTTATGGGGAAATTTGACTTGGCTTGCAACCAATTCGGGTCGCAACCAGAATCGTGGAACGAATTAAGTTCGTCAGCTGAGGTACCACTGTATACCTAGCAAGGCTAGCTTGCTCATATGCTGCCTGCACTTCCATTGTGCAAGTAGAGTTCTGCTTCCACATGACTTGTGGGCTTTAAATACTTTGTGCAAGAACAATTCAGTGCAAAGGGGCCTGCTAGTGTTTCCAAGCCTTCGTGGACTTGATCTTGGCTCAGCTTGCTTCCTAGGCCAGGGCCAAGTATGGAAAAGAAGTCCAGCAGGTGCGAGGGAGCCAGTTTCCAGCAGGATCTTTGCATCCCTAGTCAGAAGGATATGACATTTTAGAAATTATTTTTTTAAATGATCTAACAGAACTTAAGAGACTTGTATCTAATTATTTAAATGGGAGACAGTTAAACACTTGTTGAGCAGTGACTACAGCCTAAGCCCAGATATTACTCTTTATCTGCTTTTGCTTAGTAAAACTGGCAAATCAGTATTCAGAATTTTTAAATTAATGTTTGGAGAGAAAAATATCACAACCAGCAAGAAAAAATAATCTTCAACATAGTTCAGCTTGGGGATGTTAACAAGATCCTTAGAAAGATTCATGCCACCACATTCATACTGATCTCTTGCCCCTCATGGCTTATAAAAACCAGCAGGCAGGGCAAAGGATTGGCACCTCTGTACTAGAGGCAGTGATACCATGCTGGCTTAAAGAGGTGGAAGTGAGGTCACTGCTGAAGAAACCCTCCCTGGAAGATCCAAATGATTTTAAGCCAATGGCAAATGTTTCCTTCCTGGGCAAGGTCCCTTAGTAGGTGGTGGCCAACCAGCTCCAGGCACTCTTGGATGAGAATGATTATCTGGATCCATTTCAGTTAGGGTTCAAGGCTGGGTTTTGGCATAGAAAAAACTTTGGTCACCCTGTATGATGACCTATACTGGAAGAGATGTAGGTGTGCAGCCCTGTTGATAATTCTGTAACATCTCAGAGGCTATTGATAGCATCTATCATGCTGGCCTTTTCTGACAACTGTCTGAATTAGGAGCACAGGTTTGGCTTCAGAATATGGAGAATGGGGGATACAACTCAGTCTCATGGATACCCCAACATGGGCTCCTCAGGGGCTAGTCTTGTCTCATGCTATTTGACATCTACATGAAACCACGAGTGGGCCCATCTGGAGCTCTGAAGTGTGCTGCCATCAGTATATTGATGATGCACAGCTCTATTTCTCCTGGTGAGGCTGTACATGTGATAACCCAGTTCCTGGCGGCAGAAATGGAGTGGATCTAACAAACTGAAGTTCAGTCCAGACGAGACTGATATGCCATTGGTGGGTGATTCCTTTGACCAGATGGAGGATGTTCAATCTCTTCTGGATGGAGCTGTACTTCCCTTGGAGCAGCAGGTTTGTAGCACAGGCATTATCAAGTGGCTCTAATAATCTCTCAACTAGATTACTGCAATATGTACACGGAACTGCCCTCAAATACAGTTTAGAAACTGCAGCTTGTGCAAACGCAGCAGCCAGACTTATAACTGGGACCTTATGGTCCAGTCACGTCTCTCATTCTAGCCTGTTTGCTTGGCTGTCTGCATGCTACTGAGACCAATTCAAGAAGCTTGTTTTAATTTATAGAATCCTGCATGGCTTGGCACCATAACACTTGATGAAACACCTTTTCTAAACAGAAAGTATCTGGTCACTACACTCAACGTCTGAGGCCTTCCTCCAAATATCACCTCCAAGGAAAACTCAATTGATGTCAACAAGGAGAGACTTCTTGAACCAGATTCACTATTTCTCCTGTGCCAGCTTAAGCCTGCCCTCTTTGCTAAGGCATTTACAAACTCTAAACAGTACACGAGAGTGGTGGAGCAGTACTGCCAGGTTTTTCCCATCAATTCTAGCAATATTGCCTAGTTTATTTATTACTGTTGTTCATTGCCTAGAGAGCGTTTGGGCAGTACAGAAAACAAACAAATGAACCAAGAACAATGTGCCTGAAACTAGTAATGAAATTTAGGAATAAATTATGCAGTGTTCGTTATTGGTCCCTGACCTCAATGCTGCAAGTTTGGAGGCAGAATGCAAGACCTGAGACAAGCATAATTCCAATGAATTGAATTTATGAAATAATAATTCAGACATTTTACTACTGAAGAAATACAATTAAAATCATTTGGAGTTTTGAAATTCATTAACATCATCTTGGTATATTCTGAACATTAAGTATCTTTTTTTTTTAATCAAACACACCTGTATTAAATAGAACAATGGACTAGGGCCTACCTTGATTAGGTGAGCTGGGATAGTGATGATGCATGTAGACAAAGATGTTCTGAGAAGGCCACGGAGTGCATACAAAAATTTTGTGAGACTATGAATATTTTGTGGATTTTCATAACAACAAATATCATCATCCCATAGTACTGAACCAAGGCTCTGGATTCCAATTCTCAAAATGTTTCTTGTTTTTTTCTATCAATATGAAAATAGAAAGGAAAAAAACATTTAGTGGAACCCGAAACTCCAAATGGGAAAAATAAATTTTAGGGCAGTCTTTCATTGTGCATGAGGGGTGTGGTAGTGTGAGTGCTAGAAGAAATGGAACTAGTTTGCTACCACAGAAATCTGGGAGTAAAATAGATTGGCACTCTCAAGGTTTCTTTTTGTTGCCCAATACCTTTAAAATTAGATGTCCAGATGCTTTGCCATGGGTAGTAAAGCCTTTTGGATATTCTCTCTTTTCTCTGAAAAGTTGATTCATTTGGGGTTGGGGATGAACAGAAATGTACTCCTTTGGGAAAAAAAAGCAAGGGGAAAAGGAGGGAAGATATCGTGGCCATGGACAGGGGTCGGCAACCTGTGGCTCCGGAGCCGCATATGGCTCTTGAATCCCTCTGCTGCGGCTCAGTAGCTCAAAACACGTGATCTGCGACCAAGGCTCCCAGTTACAGAATACCAATAGGTGATGATGAGGCATCCACTCAGGAAGGCCTGCTAGCTGGTTAAGTATATTGCTACATTCCTATGTTATTGTGCAGGGAAAGAGTGGAACAAGCTTCCTGCAGGTTCTCATGTTACACAAAAGGAAATGCTGCTGAAAAGGTTCTCTTTGTCCAAATGTAATCTCCTTCCTCTGAATGATAAAAACTGCGCTTGCAGCCTGTCACAATTCACATCACTTGACTGTTTATCTGCTAATCAGTCACTAAACACACCTATATCTGTGACTTCCCCCGGTAGGCCAACCATGGATAAATCAAAGAAAAGTTTCTGAAGAAAACCGAACATTTAATGATACATGGGTAGATTCATTTGCTTTTACTGCTGACGAACTTATGGGGTTTGCTATTTAATGCATGCAGCCCTTTAGCACTGACTTTGACTCTTCAGGAAGCTGTTCTCCTATTCAAAATATATGAAAGGAGTCCTACTAGTTTATAATGTAAGATTAAAATAACAGTTTTTAGTGGCTGAACAAGAGCTGCAGCTAAATCATAATGAAGACATAGCGTTAAGGTAAAAAAATGATATATGCAGTGTTATCTTCATTTTAGAATGAAGCGGCTCCCAGTGTTTTCTTTTGTGCGGGAAACGGGTCCAAATTGCTCTTTGAGTGTTAAAGGTTGCTGACCCCTGGCCATGGAGGATGATCCCATCCCAAGCAGTTTGACTAGGGAAGATATAGTCATCCATGCTGGAAAACATGGAAATCCTTGCTTTAATGGACAGAAAATATAAAAATTACTAGCACTGAATTCATGGGATTTTAGTTTTTAAGGATATGTGTTGTATCCCATCAGCCATTTCCCCAATTAAACAACTTAAGCCAGCAGAACAGATAGAAGACAAACAAATCTGCAGCAGCACTCACTGCCAGTGCAAATCTGCTCCAGATGCTTGAGGGGCAGATTTTGCTGGGGTGTGGGAAACTGAGGGAAAGTCCTACCGTGCAAGTAGAAATCAGCTTGTGTGATGCTGAATTTTGCCCTAAGAATTGTAGTTGACTTATTATATATGCTGATCACAGAAGTCATGCTTAAATGTAAAGACAATTTGGGAAAGGATCTATAGGGTAGTGGCAGAGTTTGGATACTCAACATTCCAGCTTCAATCTCTGGCACTTCTAGTTTTAAAATAATGACAAGGTAAACAAGTGATGGGTCTGTGACACTGGAGAGCTATTTCCAGTCAAACTAAGCTGTCTAAGTCTGACCAAATATAAGGCAGATTCCTATGTTCTCATTACAATTTCCCACTGTGACAATATTATTCACAGAAGTGTAACATGAGTGCTTGGTGCTCAGACACATGTAGATAACCAGCGTAAAGTGAGCCAGCAAGACTTGCTTTGCATGTAGCAATGACTCACAGGGCAGCTTCACATGACATGACAAGCACTGTGGTTTTCACCATTGTTGGTCTATTGTGTCACCCAACCCCTGTCCTGGTATTTCTGTGTGCTGCATTTGGTTTTGACAAACCACAAACAAAAACAATGATCTGTTCTATGGGGACCACAATTGCTTGTTCTGTCATCTGGTCATCTGTACCAGAGCTATATGGTTCTGGTACTGAGGCCAGAACCATATAGCTGCTTGGCAAGCCATAGCAAGAAAGAGGGGATTAGCATTGCCTCTCCTCAACACGGCTGCCCAGCTGCCTCTTGCCCTGCTGTTCATGCATGGGAGGGGCTTTCCTTAGGCACTTGTGAAGAAGCTGGAACTCTTTTCTGAAGTAACGCCCAGTGGATTTCCTTCCCTTTGCCTGAGCATGGACTGGGCATCCCCTCTGGCTCAAGCCATCTCAAGCAAGAGGGGAAGGTGCCTTAAATGTCATTCTTCTGGGTGATTAGATCTTTTCTTTCCAGGAAGTTTATTTGGCCATGAGTGGTTGCCCTTTTTATTCCATCATTTTAGTATTTTACTGCCACTTTTCATTTTCACTGTTATTGTATAAATATTAATATTTGAATATATTGTTGTTCACTGCCTGAAGCGTGATGGAGAAAAGGTGGGGCATAAATGTTTTAAATACAAACATACATGTTTTAAATAATGAACAAGAGAACTAATAAGTGAAAAAACTGTTCCCCTTCCAATTGCTTTAAAACATATGCACAGAAATACCATTCTGTATGTCTTAGAAGTGGCTTTATCCATTTCTAGTTTCTAGTACAATTTTAAAAAATAGTGGGGACATACTATTTAGGTGCTATTTTTATCCCTCACCTAGTGTCTAAGGGAGAAAAAAAATTAAACTCTTTTCCAGTAGCAGGTTATTTACTGTCTGCTCCCAGGGTTTTCATGTCACTTTAGTGCTGTTGCTTCCGATATTCTATGATTTCCTGCTTCCAAAGGACCTGTCATCATGTTGGAGGAGCAGCTCAACATACTGTACTATGGGAACTGTTATGACATGCCTGTTGCTATGGTAACCAAAGCAAGGTGCCTGTCAGGGACCAATTTACTTCTCCAGAAGGGCACTGCTACTACTAAAGAGAAAACACGCCTGTTCATAAATCCAGGAAAATTCTGCATGACAAAGATTAATAAAAATGAGTCTAGAATAAAGGCACATTTAAGAAAACCTAGATTTAAAAAGATAAATTAATCTGACATTCACTGTCAGCATGTTGCATTATTACTTGATTTTGGAAAAAAATAATGCCAGAATTAACACTGCAGTTAACTTTATGATACTTAATCAGTTTGGTGAGTAAAGATGAATGTAAAATGTCAATAAATTAACATCCTATACATCTGATTTTAATTGATGCCATTATTTATCGTACCACAAGAAAATAATGAATACATATTATTTCATATAGAAAAGATGAGTCAAAAGGATGTGTGAATGTAAGTTGTACTGAAGATGAGGCTGGGATTTGGCATTCAACATTGATGTGAAGTGCAACAGTTGAGATTACACCCTATCACACCCTCCCATGACTGAACAGAGTCCTTACTACAGACATATGAACATTCCTTCAGAACTTGGCCTATGAATCTCAATTGTTCTTATTATATAAAATTCAGGGTATCTGTTATTTACATTACATTAAATTTACAGCTCACCTGTTTTCCTCTTGGAAATAACTAAGGTGGTTTACATAGTCCTGCTCCTCCTCCATTTTATCCTCAAAATAGGCCTGTAAGCTAGGTTAGCTTGAAAAGCAGTGATTGGTCCCAAGTCACCCAGTGACCTTCATAGCTGAATGAGCACTAGAACCCAGGTCTCCTGATTTCCAGTCTAACCCTACACACAACACTATACTACACTGGGTCTTCAATCAGACAGCCCCCCAATCCAATGATGGTTTTTTATGCATGGGAGACTATGCTGGCAGGACATTCTCCCACAAAAACAGTGCACAGGAGAGGGCATGCCAAAGATATGATGAGAGAAAGGACTGTGCCTTTAGAAAGGCCAGGATTAACAGTAAAACCAAAAAAGTATAATTTTCAATAATTTTTAAACTTCAGCTCAAATTCCATGTTGCACTGAATGCATATGACTTACTGAGAAAGTGTTTTATTAAGCAATGTGTTAATCACGGACTAGTAAATGCCTTTATTAATGGATTGATGTTGCCTTTGGAAAGCCAGCTCACAGTGGTGGAAATCTGTACAAATCTGAATGCATCAAATTTTCTGACAATGACACAGACTACTCGTCAGTCTAGCTCAGTATTGACAATTCTGATTGGCAATGCCTCTCCAGGGTCTGAGGAAAAGTCCACAATCATTACCTTCCACCTGATGTCAGAATGCCATAGATTGAACAGTCTGAATACAAAGCATGTTGGTCTATGCATAGCGCTGCAAAATGGATTATAATCCTAGCCAGCACACTTTGTGCCAAATCTCCCTTTCAAACGTTATAAAATTTAACTTGCATGATTGTAAACAATACTGAAGATGCTTAATACCTGGGGAATGGCGCCATCATATCCTTGCTCATAAATGATCTTCCGAATGGAATGAAGCAGTCTGGTATAACCAGGGGCTGCATTACTAAAGAACAGGGGTGAGAATGTGAGATTTAATAAATGCATTGTAACATTGGCTAAAACATTAAAATATGCAGGTTTAAACATAAGATAGTTGATCAGGATAAAACAAACCCACCAAGTAAATACAGTAGACAACACAGGCCAATGAAGATTCACCAGACCCTATAAAGCTCCTCATTCTGATCAACACATTTTTGGGTCAAGCTACAGAATAAATCTCTTTTGCCTTGCTTTTTCTTTGTATCTGCCTACCCCAGAACCAGACCATCAGCCTGTCTCTGACCTTTTGTCTGCTCTAGAATTCTGTATCTCTAGAATTTTGAATCCAGTACTGGATGCACTTGGACCAAGAGCCTTTTTTTCTGAGTTTAGCAGAATACATTCATTAGTGTCCTCTGACACCATGCAAAAGTTAATGCATGGAGAGACTAGGGGTATTAATTAAACCTACAGCGAATGTAACATGTTTATGCATGTGCATAGGAAAAAGAAGATAACTGTGCAGGTTGTCACATGGACATTCATATGTATGTCCCTATTTCTTTCGTAACAGGTACTTATAATGGTGGATGCTGGAAAAGTACAGCCAGTCACACCTTCCCAACATATTACCAAAAACAATTTAAAAAGGAATTAAGTACAAGAGCACTGTTTTCGCTGAAGGAAATTTGACTTGTCTGAAGCAGGGTTGTTATCTCTAAAATGTTAGTGGTTTAATAAAACAACTTAAAATAAAAGCACACTATATTTTATACAATCAACTCTGAAAACACCTGACCAAGCTCAATACATTAGGTTTGAAATAAACTTGTTCTTAGGCATTACATAATGGTTAAAACATTGCCTGTTTTGATACAAAATTTTGAAGTAGTAAAATTGGTAGTTTCAGCAACACAGATCTGCATGGAAAAGAATATCTTGCTGAAAATTACAGTCTAGCCATAAGAAAACAAAGGCAATTTTTGTGACTAAAACATATCCCAGAGCATGTAGCTATTCAAAATAATTTTATGTCTTATTGTATGATCTTCTACAAATCATACAATACATGAACTAAGCTTCATACAATTTAAAATGTGTAGTGAAAATAATTCTGACAAATCAAGACTAATGATGCACATTCAAGAGTCTTATCTTAAAACTACCATGTCAGCATTCATTTGGTTTTGCTGGTTTCAAATCCTAAAATATCCCAGTTACAACTAACTCTGGCAGCTTGAGTTACCAGAGTCTGTAAAATATGAAAAATTACTCAGTTTCTCTCAACAAAGGTTTGGACTGTCAGGATGATCTCACCTTCTGCTTTATTCACTTAATCATGTAAACAGATCCAAGGCTGAACCCTTATTATGTTAACAAGCTCCTATTCTTAAACTTTATGTTTATATTTAGACTATTGGTTGAATAAAAATCCTTTGCTTGGTAATCATACATGAACTTCATTCATTTCAATACAGCTATAGAACAGAAGTCTAATTTACATTCTTGAAGTAGCAATGACTAAACACACTCTAACTATATGATCAGCAATGAGAACAGTTCTCTTCGCAGAAGGTGCATCCACCTAATATGGGAGATCACATCTTGTTCTCAGTCCCCTCTACCAGCTGGCTTGTCTGACCCTCAATGTAGCATTTTTGGAGGCCTTTAGGGGCTGCTGTGGAGAGGAGGAAATGGGAAAGTCCACACTCAGCAGCTCTGTTGTATGTACCTAAATCTGGATCCAACCCTATATATTAAACAAAATTGTTAACTAGAATGCTAAAATATTATCTTTGTGAGAAATGAAAAAAAATAACAGATGTAATTTAAAACATCCCAGCTAAATCCTCCATGTGGAATTTAGTATTTAAAAAGTATGGTTGCAGGTGATTATATTTATTGAGGCAAGTCATCTTAAGCTAGTGGAAATGTTCACTACACAAACAGAAATACTTTACAATGTATAATAACTGCATGATTTATAACAATATTTTACGAGTCTCAGATATCTGTTGTATTTAAAAATTCAGTAATTTTTCTTGTAGATTTGTTATGAAATACATTCATTTTGCTATTATGTTTAAACAATAGTTTTCATTCTTTTTAAACAGTTTAGTAACTGATGAAGCAGGAGTTTGTAAGAAGGCATTCTAGTTACCACAGGGGTTCTGACTTCCCTATCAATGGCTTTTAAACATTTAACAAAGGGAAGGTTATCAAGAGGTATGACAAATAGGGCTATTATCAGGAAGTAGACTCCATTAGGAAAGATAGCTCAACCTGTTTTAGCAAAATGTATCAGAAAATCCATTCGCTATGTACATTTAAGCCCATCTACCTTTCTTAATGTTCACTCCTTTAAAGCAGTGAAGAATACAAGCATAATTAATATTGTTTCTTGGATATTCTTTCTGGTAAAATAATAAAATAATGTTCTGATCTAGAATGAGGAACACCGGAAGGCAGTTATATAGGAAAAACACTAGGAGACATAGCTAGATATAAATTATCACTAACTTTCACTCAAAATAATGACTGTGATCCTAAGGATCTGTTTATGCATAATTAAGGGAATGGTGTTCACTATTTTATGTCTCTCTCTTCTGTTTTAGATACTACAGTTTCCACAAATGAAGCAGAAAGTGGCTTTCAAAAATGACTTGAATATAATAAAATCATAGATAGTACACATAATTCCTATTTGTAAACAACTCCTTTGGGCTACAATGTATTGATGGAGATGCATGTATGTAATTGGCTGTATAAGTAATTTTATCATGACTGCACAACAAAATGTCCAACTACTTCCTTCAGATGTGGCATTAGTTTATACTGTTTGTTTAGCCATTTAGAAAAGTTCATTCATGTAATATGTCCTATGCTTGTATAATTTGGGGATTCTGGAACAATAAGAGCAGTCTACAAGAAAGCATGGGATGGCTTCTGTAATTCTTCTAGAGCCATTTTATCTTTTAAAAATGTAAGTGAGCAATTTCCAACCCACAAACCTAATCCAGCCTACAGAAGTTGCCCATCTGGCCTACAGAGAGAGTGCAACCTCAACAAGCCCTTTCTTCTCTCCAAGTCCCATGTCTTGGCCTGGCGATTACTAGATGTTTTGTGAGAAGAGAGAGAAACTGGAGAGAAATCTGATGGGGAGGGGGCATGTAGCCAAGGAAAGGATGTGGGTGAGAAATCCAAATCACAGTTGCTCAGGTGTTTTAAAATCAAGTTATAGCAGAAATAACTGTGATATGGATAGAAGGATCGGTTATACTGAAATTTTGTGAGCCCACAGAGAAAGACCAGGGCAGGGCTACAAGCAGATAGGAGCATGAACCCTGCAGTTAGTTGAGGAAACTAGAGATAGAACTGAAACTTGATAGGCAAGCGAAGGCAGAAGTCTGGATTACAAGTATTTATATTTGCTCAATCTACTACTGACAGTAAATCATTTACATGCAATTTGCCCTCCTAAGCAACCTAACCCCATTCTTGTACAAACAAGGAAAACCACAGGCTTCTTAAACTCACCAGGCTTTTATATCAGGACCTAAATCAGCTTCTTTAGGAAGGAAAAAGCCATTCCACTTAATATTCTGGATTAGTTCTGGAGCCATGGTTTTTGTTAAATCAAAGTAGTGTCCAAATTTTGTAAAGGCTGTCTGGGGCACCTGTGAAAACATATCAATACAATTGCAAGTCAATGAATACATGTTTGCCCTGCTAAAATAGAATTTATAAAATTCAACAATTCAACAGCTATTTTTGAAGCAGTCTAATCACACAACTTGTATACTAATTCTACTGAAATGCAACAGTCTAAGTAGTTACCATCCCCCTTTCTTTCTCTCACAAACACAGAAAGCTGTGCCTTTGTGGTGCGACCTAAGCCACTACTCTGCCTGCATATATGAGAGAGAGAGAGAGAGAGAGAGAGAGAGAGAGAGAGAGAGAGAGAGAGAGAGAGAGAGAGAGAGAGAGAGAGAGAGAGAGTTAGGAAACAATACAAGCAAGGCTAAGAGAGTGCTGATCTGATGGGAAAAGCCAGAATTGTCAGGGGCCAACCTATGCAGTTGTTTAATTCATACCAAATTCCCTAAGGGAAGTGGTTCCTATATTGCTGGATGTGTACAAGTAACAGAGGGATGCCATGTCACTTTGGATGACTTAAGGCAGGAATTGCAGGCCTCTGGTATTTTCAATAATCCCACACTGCAATCTTATACAACATACTGCAGAGAGCACTGGCATGGATAAGGTGGTTCTGATTTATTCCTTTAGCAGCGTGTTGCATTTCTTACTTTGCCACTTGAGTGCTAGAGGCAAAAAGCTCCTTCACTGGATGCTACACCTATTTTTCCACATTATGTGATCACTTTTTCAGTAAGGGAAGCAGCATTCCATTGGAAGTTCTACATGTTCACCAATGTGTTGAGCTATACAGGAACAATTTAAAAAAATCTCCCTTGAGTATACCTTGTGTAAGGAAATCTTTAGCATCCACATTTTATTTAAATATAAGTAAGAGAAAGTAGATAGATTAATGTTCCAAACAATAATTTCAGTAGTATACTCTCCAATTGATATGGGCATATCCACACAACACAATCTTCTATGGGTTATTTAATCCATGGAGAGGCTACAGGATGTGTGGGCAGTGCATGTTGCCACTATTCTGAATATGCAACCCTCACTCAGGAGTTCTCTTGCTGTATAAACCTGGTGAATGTGGGTTACTGTGTTTTTATGGTTAGGTGAAGGTTGTTTAACCCACACATAAGCCATGCTCATCAGGTTTGCACAGCACAGCTGCCCACAAGTGGGGGCTACACTTTCCAAAATAGCATCCATGGATGCTGTGGGTCATGATTAGATAACCCACAAGAAGCCATGGTGTGTTGTCTGAATCCAGCCATTATGCCTGTCACAGGAAGGCTGCACGGAACAGCCTCCATACGGCATCTATGCATCCTGCCATGTGCCACTGACATTATGTGGCAACTGTAATAAGCATTTTATACAGCTAGTTGCTTAACACATTGAAACTCTTAAATATACCAGCAAACTTTTTAAAACACTTTCCATGCAATGCTCCAGCCCAAAGTTCCATAAGTAAAAGAGTAAATAATAGTACACTTTATGCAACCAATGAAAAGGAAACTTCCAGTGGAATCAGATGAACTGAGGTGGTGATTAAAGAAGTGATCTGAAGTGTGAGTGACTTGCTCATGTATTTGGTTTGAAAAACAATTAAGACTGCAGCTAGTATATACTAGCAAGTTCTCTTGGATTATGCCTTTATTATCATGAGGCAAATAAAGTGACGGGGTGGATGGCACACTAAATAGCTGACAATTCAAGCCAACCCTAACAAACAGTGAAGATTTTTCCTGTTGAAAAAAATCAGTAACTACATGGCAAGAATTGGGATGTACTTTCTGTCTGTTGCCACTGTATATGCAAAGTGTTTTCATTGTTCTATTGAATATGATTTATCTTCTGCCCACTATGACAAGTTTGTCATTTACTCTAGGTAATATCCAACTGTGTAATTCCATTACCAAAAACTGCATAATTGTGTTTGTGTAAGTGGTAGTGCATTATGCTTATGTGAACTGTTGTGCAACTGCTTGCACAACCAAGCATACTTGGCAACCATCTGTGCAACAGAATTATTCATTGAAGCTCTGTTAGTGCTATTTGAATTAAGAGAATGACAGCATTGAATACTGCCCTTTGTATCCAAAAGCTTGCATATTCCATGTTAACTCAACATGGAAGCCTGCAGTATGAATGCGTGACTAACTCCACGGTTGCATTGGGACCAGTCACTACTGAGTCCCCTAATGCTCAGGCAATGAAAAAGTTACTGTCCATCACTACTTCTACTTTTAAAAATCATTATTTTCTTAAAGTGGTAAGTAAACACTTACAGGAATGATATCCAAAGCAATGTATTTATCATGATTCTCACAAGAATTTTCACACTGTTCATACTGGAGAGGTGAACACCATGCCAGACCACATGATGGCTGCTCCTCTTTACAGTAAATGTAGTGGACTCAGTGGTAGTCCCATCTCCTGGAAATACTTATTAGAATGATTTATATATTATTTTTCCACTTACCAAATAGCACTTAAGATGGCTAACATTAGAATAATGACAAAAATCAATTTAGGGCACAGTCTAATGGGGATGCCTGCAGCTTCCAAACTTGGAAGGTTACAGGCATCTTGGTGCAGTAGAAGTCTTGGTGTTCTTTCACCTTGCAGAAGACTCATTTTGGCTAAGACTTTTGTGCTTCATTCCTCTCCTCCCTCCCCCAAGAACAACTCTGAGGTGGGTTTTGTATCCTTGGAACTATAGCTGTTTTGGAAAAAAAAATGCACTGACCATCAGGGCAGGGTGAGAGACTTTGAATTTAGAATCCCAGCTTTGACATCAGAGCACATTTTCAAGATCAGTGTTGGGACTCTGATTTATCCTATGGCCAATCAGACAGCATCTACTGGCCAAAGAATTATGTTGTGAAAGGCACAGTCTGAGGCTTCCCAACATTGCCAGGAAATTTGAATTAAGTAGAGTCTCAGCTCCTATGTCCTAAGAGTCTGTGCTGCACTTCCAAGATGGAGCTCCAACACTACTCATCCCCATAGCTGGCAGCTATGCAACTGTGCCAGCTGCCTGTTCAAGATGAGAAATCAGCTAAAAGTTAGGGCTAACTGGTGTGCTGGAGGGGCCCGATAGCTTACAATATATCCAAATGATGTCTCAGTGTCTTTTACTGTCACTTCTTCTACACAGCTGAAAATGACTCTCTAGATCTAGATGAAATGTGGGGCACAAGCTGCAGAGTGGTGGAAGTTGTCACTACCACAACTCACACACTGCATTGGCTGCACATAAGTTTATGTAATCAGAGGCTTACATGCACTGAGGGCAAAGAACACTGGATTGCATCTTAGACATTTTTTTTGAAACAACAGAAGTTGCATATCAGATAATTAAAACATCAAAGAGACTTAAAATTCCTAAGTCAAAAAGATTCTTCCTGAACAAAAGTGTCTTTACCTGGTGGCAGAAGATAAAAAGAGATGGGGCTAAACAAAACTTCTACTTTACAAGTGGAATATAGCCATATGCATCCTGACAAACTTGGCATCCAACCACATTGGGAAGCAGACAAAGGATTCAGATCATATCTTAGGGTGCCAGCAGATTAATATTGGAGGAGACAGTCCTGGGTGGGTGCCCCAGCTTTATCAGTAATATCAGACATTTTGAATTGCACCTGGAAGTATCTTAGTAACCAGTGCAGGTATTCTAAAATGACCATAATGTACACTTACAACCATATTCCCATGAATACTCTTGCTGCTGGATTTTGGAAATTTCCAAAGACTCTACAAAAACAGACTTAAGTAGAATGCATTATAATTGTTCAATTCCTGATGTAACAAAGGTATATGTCACCATGGCTAGGTCTGATCTTCCCAGAAATAGGCTGGTATACTAGCCTAAGCCAGGTGCCCACCCCTGCCCCAAACAGAAAGCCCAGGTCCAAGAAGACTCACAAACCACATACCCTGTATTTCAAAGGAGCAATGAAAATCAGCATCAGGGAAAGCTAACATATCTCACCCCATAATAGCAGTCTTGCCATGGATCAACACATGTCCAATTCCCTCTGTGGTCACCAGATAAGGTGACCAAAGCCATCTCTGCCCCTAAACAAAGGCTTAAGTTATTTTGAAAGTGTTTGGTATTTATAATCTGTTTCATTGGAAATTTCTGAAGCTGAGATATCACAACACACTTGAGCACCTTGCCCAAGAATGATGCAGGCTTATAAGATGCAGGGCTCAGATAAAAGATGTTACCAAGCTAGCTTTATCACCACTACTCTGAGCTATATTAGAACAGAACCTTCCTCTGAGAAAGTATTCACAATTCTCAAAACCTGATCAGCCAGGTCTTGCTTCTTTTATGTGCTAGGATGGACAAGGGTCAAGTACATATGTGAATGTATTCATGCTTCCCACATCTTGTCTACACTTTCAGGTTGTACAAATTCAAAACTATCCATATCTAAAATACCAAAAGTACATCACTGACTTTTATAATATATGTGGTGTCCAAGTTGGACCAGATGTAATCAGTTTTATCTAGAAAACTGTATAGCAGACTGTGACAGGTACTTATTCATCCCTTATTATACAGTGTTCTCAACATAATATATTCCAAACTATATAAACAGCTCCACTACAGAACTTTCTTTCCATTTTTAACTGTTAATGGTTTAACTTCAGTTTTAGTGAGATGGTGCAGAAAAATGGGGAAAAGTATTTAATGGCTCTCTAGTTGTTTTGGCCTACAATTCCCAGGAGCCCTAAGCAGCATAGCCAATGATGATGGATGACAAAAGTTGTTTTAGTATAATACATCAAGTGACCACAAGTAGCAGTCCACCCTGAGAAGTCCTAGAGCAAGCATTTTGTGATTCTGTGTAGATGCAGCTGTAGTCACAGAGGACAATAGTGGCTGGGTTCAAATGAGTTCTAGCCTACATTTTGTTGGACTCAGTCTGGGTTTTCTGCCAACATCTCTGTAGCAGTTGTCCCACTTGTTTTCTTGCTCCCAGATCTCTTGAAAACTGGGGAGCTTATCTGG